GAGGTCAGTCATATGAAGCTTCAAAACATGGCATAACCGCTCTCTGGAGAACAGCACTGTTGTCATGTTGTTTAAATTGAGTTTATTGATGGACAGGTATGGAACTGTGTTGTAGATAACAAAGTCTGTATCTTGACCAAGGATGCCCATGCAGTTGTGAGACAAAGCGTAGTCGGAAATCTCATAATCTCCTTCGCGAACAGAGCACCGTGATTCCTGGCCGAGGCTTTTGAGGGCAAATCTGGAGAAGGTTGCGAGTCCGGAGGGAAGGCAGAAAAGGTCTCTGCTGTTCGGCTGCTGACCGTGAGTCTTAATGTGCTGAAATATTCTCGCGATGTCTTGGTTGACTCTCAGCCGCCTCTTCACCCACTCTGCCCGCTTTTGTTCCTCAACCGTTCCGTCAAAGAAAAAGACTAAACGTATGTCTGCAGCTGTGAACGCATCCAGGAACTCTTGAAGAATATGCATATACTCTTGCCACTGACCGCCATGGACCCAGGCTTGACAGCGATACCAGTATCTTAAACAGGCCATTCCATCCACTACTACTGTGGCAGTACTGTCCGGATGGGCTTTGACATAATCGACTGCCATCTGTTTCAGGTCCACTGGCACACAAGTGTCTGGGCAACATGCCTCCATAAAGTACTGTAAGCCCTTCACACCCATCTTCAGCTGTGTGAAAGCTCATCTGCAAGTTCATGCACCTAAAATCAAACATAAAGTGCATGCATGAATGGAAATTCACCATTTTCTCTATATCAAAATTATGACATTCTAAATTCTCAATGCACCTGTCAAGTCAATAATGTATATAAATTAAAATATACATCAAACTTTAGAAATATAAAACTTTAGAAAATATGCAATTTAATTTTTAAAGAAACATTACTACATTATCACTACGTCCATGCAGAAAACGGATTTCACAGCTGTGTCGCTACTTTTACTCAGGGCTTCTGAAGGTTTTAATGAAGGTAAATTTAAGACTTTTTAAAGACCCTTTTAAGAAGAAGTAAGGAATTTTAAGCAATAAATCAGTATGGTCACTAAATATAAATGTCTTGTATTAGCTAGCTACTCTTCAACAGACTTCCAACAGATCTCTATTCTGAATTTTCATAAAAATAAATAAATAAATAAAAACTTGAGGCTTGAATAGTTCAATAATAATTACTTACACAGAAAAGTAATTTTCATACTACAGTGACATTTTCCACGACATTCTAATTTATTGAGATGCACCTGTATGTGTTCTTGTTTTAAGCGTAAACTCAATTTTGCTCAGATTCTCAGATAAAAAGACTTCATAAGTTCATATGGTAAACTTTCATCTAAAGTAAATGTATTAAATGTATGGTTTACTTTACACTGTCAAGACATCATAACATTTTTTACTTTAGTTTTACACGTTTTTTAAATAATTTTAATAAGGTCATTTACGATATGCTTAATTTATCAACATGGTCTGACCAGACAAGTTATACCATATAAAAATCAGAATCCATCCTGAAACCATCCTGTAATCTCTAATCATTCATACATTTAAGGTAATGCTAGATTTGCCAATATATAAATACATTTTATATTACTGTTATGTCCCATGTCCCCAAAATTAAAATGCAGTGTTTAAGCTGTAAATAGTTATCAAATAATCATCTTGTACATGCATTTTTTCTCACTCATTAGCATAATTAAAGTAATATGAATGAACATGTTCAAAAAACCTTCACTTTGATCACTTGCTGGGAATTTGACTGCTGCTGCGACGCTGTCAGTAAAAATATGGAACACTACAGTCCTTTATCACTTAATGTCACACTTATTAAACCCAGTGCTGCTAAAGAAGCAAAAACCGACTCACTACTTGATGGGTGGGATGTCACGCATAGTTTAACTAGAATACTCGAGTTAGTGAGCGTTTAAGCGCTCTCTCGCTCCAAGCAGCACGGCTGCTACAGTAGCCGAAACCGCTGATGTTTACAATGTTGCGCTCACTTCCTGTTCCGGCGCGAGGTTCTCAGCAGCCAATCAGCGTATTCCTTTATAATGATTGTAAATGAAAAAGAAGACCACAGCTGAAACATATATTAGAAATAATTTATGTTTTATTACTCTACTCGATAACAAATCTGCAAAAATAAATAAATAAAAAATATTTAAGAAATGCATTTAATTTAAATATGAGAACTGTGTTAGTAAATAAAGAAATGTAGTCATGAAGTTTTATGTTATTCTGCTTATTAGTTTATTATGTAATGGTTTATTGTTGTGCACTGTATCGCTACCCGTATGTTGTTAGGCTGCAATGATATAACACCAACATAGCATAGTCTTACAGAATATTTATTAGAATTAGAATTAAATTATTAGAATTAAATTTAGAATAAGGATTTAAAACTTATAAGGCTGCAGGTATTTTAGTACAGTAGGTCAATCCCTGTTTGTACAATTTCACAATCTGATATGGGATTATTATTATTGTTATTTTTTGTCAATTTAGCTGTGATAAAAACTATGCATTTAAGTTTAGATTTTTTTCCTCCACATTTAAATTATTTATGCTATGAATCATACCTGCATAATATAAATAACAATGTAAATAAATATAATAAAAAATATAATATATATATAAAAATAAATATATATATAATAATAAGTTAAAGTACAACAGCCCCCTATAGAAACACTTAAGTTAAACAGTCTCCCCATAGTCCACCTTCAGAAAAGAGGAGGCATGCGAGAAAGGAGCTTTCTGCTTGATTTAACCAGGACAGAATCGCGTGGCATAAATTATGCTCGAAAAGAATAAACGAAGTGGGCATAAATCTGAGGCTTTTCAACATGCTTTTCAGTGATGCTTTGCTGGGGTAATCGGGAAATGTGTGCAACGTCAGGCTAAAGAACTATGGGTGAAAGTGTGATGCTCTTATTTATGGCCAGCGGTTCAATAACTAACTCCGGAGTGTGTTGCTATGACACCTGTCGCATTGCATCGCATTGCAACTCCATGTTTTGTTCAGGAAACGCATTCGATAAAAAAAAGTATTTATGTATACTTAAACTAGGAGTGAATTACTTTCTAAACAACTTTCATGCGCGTAACTGTGTCACTGATGCACCGTTGTCGCGTTCCTCTGGAGCGCTTTTAATTAACGCGCTAATGAAGACCACCCTCGCACATCCACACAAACAAACGCTCGCGAGACAGAGCGAAAAGAGTTTCATTTAACAATATGAAAGAATAAAAGAAAACATCGGAAACTTTCTCGTCAAATTAAACGCAAAATAATTGATAAAACACCAAAACAACAGAAGCTGCTAGGTACTTTTGTCAGGGATGACGTGTAGAGAGGGGAGCTCTTTCTCCCCGCGACATTGTGAGGGGAGCAGGTGCTGTGAGAATTACCATACAGCTGAGCAGGCGAACGACACACACCAGTTCAGCGTTTACAATCCAGCTTAGAGAATTTACAGAGTCACCAAAACTCAAACCACTGAAATGAAGTGTTTTAAAAACCCAAAGAAGGTTCATAAGGATATGCATGTTCGCTTTACATGACCTAATTATGTGAGGCGCCAGCATTTTTTGGCCTGCTTCGACTTAGTTCACACTTATACAATTGTTAGTGAACAATAATTGCAATTTACCTTACCAAAATTGGAAATATGTTATTACTTATATTTATTTATATTATTTTTAAAGATTGAATAAAATTTTACTGTAAAATATTCTAAAATGTTTTAGTAGCAGATCTTATTTATTTACTTTAGGAATACACACACACACACACACACACACACACACACACACACACACACACACACACACACACACACACACACACACACACACACACACACACACACACACACACACACACACACACACACACACACACACACACACACAATCACGAGGCGGTTAACTAAAATAGTGAATGAAAAGAATGATTGTTTGTTATTCTATTTTGCTTCTTGTTATTTACTTTGTTTACAATATTTCATGTGGCCTCCTATTTTTATTATTAGCATTTACAGTAACAAACATTTTAAAAGCGCAAATATGTTTGTGTAAACATTATACAATGACTTTTAACAACTAATTTAGTCAAAATAAATTAATCCAAAAACAGAAAAAAAGTTAGCTCCCCAAAACCCCCCTCAGATGTAAGCTGCACGTTTTAATGACTGTATGACAACAGACAAATCCAGGTTGCATTGTGTAGTCATGCTGCAATGAAAAGCCCAGGGGGAAAAATACTGTACTTTTGTCCCGTTATCAGGAACGCGACATTCCTGCAATGTGTGATGCAATTTGTGGTTTAATGTCAGAGTGGGATGTACAGGATTCTCGAGGTTGCTTATTTTCCTGTATGTAAATTGGATTTTTTTTTTCTCTCTCTCTCTCCACTCACTCCCAGTGGCAAAGAGTTGCACATTTTACAGCTCAGTGACCATTTGCCGATTTCTTTCTTTCTTGAAGGGTTGGGGGTGGTGTAGATTGAAAAGTGTCCCTTTGTGACAACCAGAGCCAGATTGGGGAGTAGCTCATTTGCATCTCATTACCCTAGCAGGCGCTGCCTGTATAAAACCGGCTGCAGGAGGACTGGGACATTAAACACGCAGAATCCAGTCAGTCTCTCTCACATGGAAACAAGAGTACGGGAGGAAAGTTGGGATCAGTAGTTTGGATCATCTCCACGCCATTTGAAAATAAGCGATACACGCGTAGATAACCGTGCGCCTGGGTTTGCTGCATTTTTTCCGGCTTCCTAAACAATCCGCAAGTGGACTGCAAACTTTTGACACCTTGGAGTAATCGTCTTCTGAGGGAATTTCCTGTTCGTCCCCCTTTTGCGCATCGGGGTTTCCTCTTTATATTCGTATTTGGGATTTAATTGCTTGATTTTGTTTCTTTGATGGGCTTGCACGAGCAGATAAAGTGAAAACAACAGAGCATCAGATACCAGAGCTGCCTTCCACTGAGTGGAGAACTTCGAGTCTCAATGATTTACTGAGACACAGTCTCATACAATTGCCTGGCCCGTGGAAGCTTAACAACATAGTTCAGATCCTCTCCACCATGGGACGACTCATGATAGCTGCGTTGCTTTGTGTCATGATAAGCCAGGTAATTAAAGTCAGCGTCTGTTTTAATGTATGTGAGCAATGATCTCACAATAGATGTCTGCCTTATGATGGCAACGTTTAGTAATTAATCCAAGTTCAATTTCTTTCCAGGGGTTTTGTTCTGGGGTTTTCGAGTTAAAGTTGCAGGAGTTTCTGAACAAGAAAGGGGTGACAGGCAACGCAAACTGCTGTACAGGATCCGCGCCAGAGGCTCAGCAGTGTGAATGCAGAACCTTTTTTAGGATTTGCCTGAAACACTACCAAGCCAATGTATCTCCAGATCCTCCATGCACCTACGGTGGCGCAGTTACACCAGTGCTCGGATCAAACTCCTTCCAAGTTCCCGAGAGCTATCCTGACAGCTCGTTCACCAACCCCATCCAGTTCTCATTTGGATTCACATGGCCGGTGAGTAGCTAGTGTTTTACTTTTATACATTATACTTTATATTTGGATGCATGTGTAGGTTTTACCGTGGTTTATAGCATGTTTAACATATAAAAACCCACAATAGTGACTCATAAGGGCTCAGGATGTGGGTATTTAGATGTTTTAGTGGTGTTGGAGATGTGGGAGAAGTCACATCCCCTGGGTTGGAATAGAATTGTCAGCTCAGTGTGAAATTCCGAAACCTTTCATTTTACTGCAATAAGTAAGTGTGAAATCGGAGAAATGAGGCTTGAATCCCCAGTGCGATCACACCTCAAGCCACTCACATCTCCCGTTATATGTAAAACAGCGGGGAGGTGTGGAGGAATGCGCTTCTGCTGCTCGATTTCATTCATATTAACACGTCCTTTTTATGTTTCAGGGAACTTTTTCGCTGATTATCGAAGCGTTGCACACCGATTCCAACGACGATCTGTCGACAGGTAAGGAGAAATGCATTGAATGGGGAAGAACGTTTTAAGTCATCGCTATGCAGCAACGAGATAACGCTGAAATTAAACCGTCCACAGAAAACCCAGAGCGTCTGATCAGTCGTATGACCACCCAGAGGCACCTAACAGTGGGCGCGGAATGGTCCCAGGATCTACAGGTTGGTGGGAGGACAGAGCTGAAGTACTCCTACAGATTCGTTTGTGATGAGCATTACTACGGCGAGGGCTGCTCGGTCTTCTGCCGTCCCCGCGACGACACTTTCGGCCACTTCACCTGCGGAGAGCGCGGAGAAATTATCTGCAACTCCGGATGGAAAGGACAGTACTGCACAGAATGTAAGTAACTTACAAAGGATATACAGCATTATTTTGCCTGTATTTGAAAATTGTTAGTGCGCATGTTTCGGTATTTCGCGAGAAAAACAACAACAACAAACTTCGTCGCTATGGTTGCAACAGGCGTTTGTGTGATTTAAATGAGGGACGTTGGCCAAATAATGGCACGCGTGCCATAGATTAAATGTGACGCCTGATTGGTTACTTGGCAGTGCGCTCGGCGCTGATTGGCTCAGAGCGGTGAGGTATTGTTGGAAGGGGGCAGCTGCAGAGTGAAGGAAGACAATAGAGCAGCTGTCCTGCACTGGCACCATGTACACCAGCTGTCCACCCTTATCTGCGCCGACTCTGGGTCGTTATGGGGGGGGGTTGGATGAACAAAGTGAAAAAGGGGACTTCTGACCCACAGTTAGGGGAAAAAGGGAGCTTTTGTTTGGAAAGCTTTTGTATGAGTGCAACTGTGTTAACCAGAGTGTCATTCCAATGGTAGTGAAAAGAAAAATTGTTTTTTTGTTATCCTTGAAGTACGGGTGAGCAGCTTGGTAAACACACGGGGCTGTGACTGTACTAGAATAGTAATGGTGTCAGAAATGAGCTGGTATTGATAAATACATATTTCTTTTTACAGCAATCTGTCTTTCGGGATGTGATGAAGACCATGGCTTTTGCGACAAACCTGGTGAATGCAAGTAAGTTTAATGAAGATTTTCAGTTCCTCTGTGTTTAACACTCACTTTTCATCGCAACGGAAGTTAACAACATACTAACAGTTCCTCTGTGATGTTTTTAGATGCAGAGTGGGATTTAGTGGGAAGTACTGTGATGACTGCATCCGCTATCCGGGCTGCTTGCATGGCACCTGCCAACAGCCATGGCAATGCAGCTGCCAAGAGGGTTGGGGAGGCCTCTTCTGTAACCAAGGTGAGCCTTTGACACCGTAAACTAAGTAGCTGATCAAGTTGTTAGAGTTGTCCATTGACACTAGACGCAGCAGAAGACTAACCTACATGTTTTATTTTGTGTTGCAGATCTCAATTACTGCACACATCACAAACCCTGCCAGAATGGGGCCACTTGCACCAACACTGGCCAGGGAAGCTACACCTGCTCATGCAGACCTGGCTTCACTGGGGACAGCTGTGAGATTGAGGTCAACGAATGCTCTGGCAGCCCGTGCAGAAATGGAGGCAGTTGCACTGTGAGTTGCAGTAGATATATTTCATTCTCTGTTTATGACTTGAGTTTTGTTCAGTTTCCTAACTTCTTTTCAATCCTTCCTTGGCTTTCAAAGGATCTTGAAAACACCTACAGCTGCACGTGTCCTCCTGGTTTCTATGGAAGAAACTGCGAGCTGAGTGCCACGACTTGCGCCGACGGCCCCTGCTTCAACGGTGGACGCTGCGCTGACAACCCCGAAGGAGGATACTTCTGTCAGTGCCCGACGAGCTACGCTGGGTTCAGCTGTGAAAAGAAGATTGATCACTGCAGCTCCAACCCTTGCTCAAACGGTACTTTGAATGCTCCCATTGTAACGCCTCAAATGCTGACTGTGGGTTGTTTGAATCAGTTGTCTCATGCTTTTTGTCTTACTTCTTCTTCTCCAGGGGCTCAATGTCTAGATCTCGTGGACTCCTATCTTTGTCAGTGTCCTGAGGGTTTCACTGGAACGCACTGTGAAGACAACATTGACGAGTGTGCCAACTATCCCTGCCAGAACGGAGGCACGTGCCAAGACGCACTCAACGACTACACCTGCACCTGCCCGCCTGGATACACCGGGAAGAACTGCACCTCTGCGGTCAACCAGTGCGTCCACAACCCATGTCACAACGGTGCCACTTGTCACGAGAGGGACGGCCGCTATGTGTGCGCTTGCATCCCGGGTTACGGAGGACGTAACTGTCAGTTCTTGCTCCCAGAGAACCCACGGGGACAAGCCGTTGAGGGAGCCGACAAAAGATACTCTTATGATGAGGACGATGGTGCCTTTCCTTGGATGGCGGTTTGTGCTGGGATTATATTAGTGCTTTTAGTCCTGATCGGCAGCGCCATCTTGGTCGTCTACATCCGTCTTAAGCTGCAGCAGAGGAGCCAGCAGATCGATAGCCATAGCGAAATCGAGACCATGAATAACCTGACCAATAACTGCAGCCGAGACAAGGACTTGTCCGTAAGCGTCATCGGATCCACGCAAGTGAAGAACATCAACAAGAAAGTGGACTTTCAGAGCGATGCCGCAGGCGGGGAAAAAAACGGATTCAAATCTCGTTACTCGCTAGTGGATTACAATCTTGTTCATGAGCTGAAGCAGGAGGACTTGGGAAAAGAGGACTCTGAGAAGAGCGAAGAAACAAAATGCGAGGCTCTCGATTCCGACTCAGAGGAGAAACACAGGCATCATTTAAAAAGGTAAATATTATTGTGTGTGGATTTCGGTTACTAAAGATGGCCGTTGGGTGTTGTTACGGCAGTGCTAACGTTGCTTCTTTTTATTTTCAGCGATTCTTCAGAGAGGAAACATACAGAATCATTGTGCAAAGACACAAAGTACCAGTCAGTCTTTGTTTTATCAGAGGAGAAGGATGAATGTATTATTGCAACCGAGGTAAGCCGAGAACCTTCCTTTTGCTTGCAGTTAGGGCTGTGCAAAATATCGAATGCGATTTTCATGCTCATCTCATCAGTAAAGCCGGTTCTGTGATTAGTAGTAAATCTCCAGCACGTGCTTTCAGATGGAGCGGCATTTACTACACAGAGCTGTATATCACCGACAAGCTACGCAAAATCGCATTCAAAATCGCAGGCGATTCATTGCCGATTATGAATGCGATTTTGCGTAGCTTGTCGGTGATATACAGCTCTGTGTAGTAAATGCTGCTCCATCTGAAAGCACGTGCTGGAGATTTACTACTAATCACAGAACCGGCTTTACTGATGAGATGAGCATTAAAATCGCATTCGATTTTTTGCACAGCCCTACTTGCAGTCATGAGAATTTAGTCTGCAAATCTAGATTTCTGAACGCTAAATTTATGCTATTCTTGTTCCAGGTGTAACACCACAATGGAGCTGTAGCTCGTCTCGTTCTACAGGAGGTTTTACTCCAGTAATGCTGCTCAAACCAGAGGGAATGTTTCCTTCATGTGACTGCTGCTGTGAAACTTATGTTGAAGGTGATATTCAGAATGAGCTGGTTCTCAACTGAAGTAAACACAGTGACTGCAGGAAAGGACGTTGGGCCATACTGGCTCGGACTCTCAAAGTTTGTTTCCCAGGAACGTGCCAAATGGACTGCTGCACTTCCTGTAGGGACGGTTTTACCTCATTGCACTATGATGGGTTGTATTTTTAATGTATTTAACACACAATTGAATCGGATACTGTGTATGCATATGCACTGACTGCAGTGTGTATCTGGAAGTTCTCTGATCATTACATAGATCAGAAGAGGAAAAACACTGCCATCAATTATGTTTGTGACTGATTTGTTTTTTTTGAAAGCTTGTATTTCTTTTATTTAAGCGTTATTTGTGATCAGCGTGTTTGTGGTTTCTTTTCCCGTGTGTTTGAAGTTTGATGTAATTTAAAATCTCTTTCATTTTGCAAATTTGTCTATTGTAAATAAGGCACTTCGGGTCGATGTGACTGTTTTCTAATGTAAATGTATTTAAACATGCTGTCAAAATTTACAGGAATTGTTTTTATGACCGTTGCCCATGAAAAAAAAATCACCTTAATATTTTTCCAAATAAATCCTGTATGAAATATCAAGAAACTGGTCAGATATTACTGAGTTGAACTGTTCGCCGTCTTTGAGTCATTCATCTCCAGATTTATGTGACGAAATTATTGTGTTTTTCCTTTCTATCTCACTAAGTGAGATACACCCGGTAATCACAAATTACAGCCTCGATCTTGATGGCAGGATATTTTTGGAATGTAAGAGCTCTTTGACAAAAACATCAAAACCACTTTTTGCAAATGGTTTGGTTGAAGTTTCTGTTTGGCCGAATGTTTTCTGTCAAAGCTGTAGCCATGCTCATTATGTGAATTGTATAGAGCAAACGGAGAACAGGAGCACTCCCTTAACATCCTAATATGAATTAAATATGTTTTTACAATTCAAAACAATCTGCAAGCCAAACTAGATATTTAAGGATGCCTTTAGGTTTGCTTTGTTTGAGCAGACAACTGAATAGCATTATGAAGTCATTCTACTGGTGATATGACATTTCATCTAATATATATAGTATTTAAGAAATTGCAATTCCAGAGCATAAGAGTATACATTATGCCATGCTTTTAAAAAAAGAGACAACATCATCAGCCAACCATTTTTGTGCAGAACAACTCTTAGACATATTAGCAACTGTCAACTCACACTATGCTGTTATTTTTATTTCATAGATCATATACCTCAATTCCGACTTTGTATGTAAATTATGTATGTGTTTGTGAAATTTTGGTATATAGCAGCCAGGTAAAGCAGAGTGTTGGTATACAATGGTCTAAGTTGTTTCAAAATGTAAAAAGTAATTAATTACTATCTTACTGTGTCTGATATTTCCTTTAGATCAATAACTGTAAAGGTTCGAAGTGACTTGAGCTCTGTAGAATTTGTCGAGTCTGTGGCTGTGGGTTCAGGGAGGATACATTGAAAATTATTTGCTGGTATTACCCAACTGTTGGACAGTTGCTTTCACATACCACGCTAAGCTTTTAACTTAACTTTTTTTTCACTCGCACAATAGGATTTCGCTGAGTTGGAAAAAATCAGGAGACAGGCCTAAAGCAGCTCTTTTGTTTCGTCATTCAGTGTAGGCCTGACGCACTGCTCAGTAGCCTGCCGCAAATATCTTCTATCAGATCTTTTTCAGTTGTGTGTTCAACAGTGTTTGGTCTGTTATTCATTAGCAAAATTTGTATGCTATAATCTTATTTAAAAACAAAAAAGCACAAGAACATTCAGAATATTCTTAATAGTCTCATCAGGCTCAGGGTGGAAAGGTTTAAATATGATTACAAGTTGCAAGTTGTGCTATGCATTACACTAAAAATACGGTAAGCTCTAGTGTAAACAGTTTTTATACAGTTTTCTATTTATCACTGCAGTACAATTCCATGTTTTGTTCCTCATTAGCTTGTCCTAATCAATCAAGACCAAAAGATGCGATGCACATTTTCTCAGAAGCAGAAGTCATCATAGCTGGGTAAACCTCTAGTGATGAACAGAAACTGCAACAAATATATTTTTTGAATTACTATATGATCCAATGGCAAAATACAAAATCCATGATAGCATTTCTATGACTTTCCAAAAAGATGAAAGAAATATTGAGAGAATGATTACAGTCAGAAGCAGAGATGTCAAAGAAAGATGTCAAATTTGCCATCATCCCCATTGCATTAGAAACACTCACGCAGCAGTGAATAGTTCACCTAAAAACGGACATTTCTGAAAATGTATTCACCCTCAGGCCATCCAAGATGTATAATCCATTTTAGCATTTCCTCCAGTGAAAACTTTTTTGCTGGAGAATTATTAGCAATATTATGATTTATGATTGTTTGTTTCTTGCAAACACACAGCTTTTAACTTCACAAGATGTTAATTGATGGACTGGAGTGGTGTGGATTACTTGTGGATTATTGTGATGTTTTTATCAGCTGTTTGGACTCTCATTCTGACGGCACCCATTCACTGAAGAGCATCCATTGATCAGCAAGTGATGTAATGCTACATTTCTCCAAATCTGTTCTGATGAAGAAACAAACTCATTTCGGATGGCCTGAGGGTGAGTACATTTTCAGCAAGTTTTCATTTTTAGGTGAACTATCCCTTTAACTAGTTTTCTGAAATTTAAGGTAATATAACGCAAAGTATAGTGTTATAAATGTACTTAAAAAAAAAAAAAATGAAAATATTAAAAACTTTGCTAGATTTACAATGTTGGAAATGCATCATCACAGTCTATCAAAAGGGCCAGTGTTATACAAATATTGGTGTTGTCCAGGTCGGTGTACTTTTAGAGATCTGTGCATATATGACCTTGAACAATGCATAAAACAAACATTGTTTCATTGTACAGTTTGTAATGAACAGTTTTTCACCTTAATGATGAAATGTGAAGGTCTAGATGTTGTAAACGCTGGATAGCTCCGCCCACAGTGAAATCTCATTGGTCCAAAATCCCACTCCAATCCTCCGGTATGTTCTGATTGTGGCACTTTTAGTAAGGACTCTTCAATAAAAACTTGTGAAGCCGATCCTGTTTTTTCACTTTTTGTTCATTTATTTCTTGGCATGTTTTTCTGTTTCAGGCTATATATTATATTATAGCGTTTCCATGTGCTGTTTAACCACAGACGTTTTGTTCTGTTCTGGTTATTATGTCTTTTATATGCAGGATGCTACCATGACGGCACAAGACGTTTCATGGTGAAGTACATTTACATGACAAGAGAAGAATTTCAGCTGAGCTTGGTTGTTTAAGTGTTTCCACTTCATGGGCAGATCTCGTCACAAATTATAGCTTCTCTTTCTGTCGTATAGTCACTGTCTTTCTTCTTTGTTCTGGAAGGCGGTGAGTGATAGTAGTGTACGATATGCCTCGCAATCGGCCTGTATGCGCAACCTTACTTCTGCTTGGCGTAGTCCCTATAAAGCTATTTTCTGCTGCCAGTCCCTTCAATGGCAAGTTAAATTTTGACAGATTGGTGTGAGAGGGGAACACGAGCATCCGTAAAGGGATTTGGCAACAGCGATGACCCAAGCTTTGTTCAGGCGTAGTGGTCACCTGTCAGTCCTCACAATGCAGAGCCGCCCCCTTTCAACTCTTGCAACCTGGGCCCTTAGATCTCATTTGCTTTGGTAAAGAAGCGATTCAGAGTCCTGCAAGGGAAGTTTTGGGGAACAAAACTGTTTCATCCAGGACAATTGAGAGCAAACAAAAAGAAGTCAGTTGGTGGAAGAGCCACTGTTGGTACACAGAATGTCAGTAAAACGGACCAATGTGACATCTGGGACTGGAGGACAACTTTCATCCTCTTCTATCAAAGCTATTCACTTTTGCTTTACTGCTTTAAAAAGCATGTTTATCATGAGCGTTTTACCGGATTCAATAAAAAAGATTTCTTTATTAAATAATCATGTGGAAAGGCACATTTTTAGATAATCTAGCAAATTAAATATTTCACAAACAAAATGCACTTTGATTATTTTGTCATTTTATTTGGAACTTGATGGACAAAAACCAAAAGACAAAGGTTATTCATAACAGATGAATGATAAATGTGATTCAGTACAAAAACAGCTTCACATCAAACTTCAAAACAAAACATTAAAGTGGTCATATGATGTTGCTAAAAAGAACATTATTTTGTGTATTTGGTGTAATGAAATGTGTTTATGCAGTTTAAGGTTCAAAAAACACATTATTTTCCACATACTGTACATTATTGTTTCTCCTCTATGCCCCGCCTTTCTGAAACGCGTCGATTTTTACAAAGCTCTTCGGTCTGAAAAGCGAGGTGTGCTCTGATTGGCCAGCTATCCAGTGCGTTGTGATTGGCCGAATTCCTCAAGTGTGTGACGGAAATGTTATGCCCCTTACCATATTGTGATGATGCCCTGTCCGGCCGGAGCGATGAGACAAAAACATTAAAACCCATTATAAACGAGGCATTTGTTGCATCCAGTGGGGACATAATTATGGTATATAATGACTTATACTGTCTTTTTACGTGTTGCATTGCGCCACGTAAACATAAAACCATGTCTGCATTTGTAATCGGAGAAATGACAAACAACAAGCACTACTCTACACTGCCCAAAAAACTCGCGTTTGAATC